CAATATTTAGCCATCGCTAAACTAGTTGCCATTATCAAATTTACAATCAATTCCTTTTTTGTTTCATTTATATCCTGTCTTTCCACCAGCAACAATAATGCAATCCTCAGTGCCATCATTAGATTTACATTCAACAGTGCTCTAATTTCTCTAAACACCATGCCCCATATTTTTTGTGCACTATCACAATCCCATCACATATGTTTATATGTTTCAACCTCTTTCTTGCACCTCCAACAAATATTTGTATATTTATCATCTATTTGATTTAATTTACGTGGTGTTAGGTACCACTTCCGTATCACTTTATATCCATTTTCCTTAAATCTAACTGACATATTCTTGTATACTCTTCTATTCCAAGTATTTTTCTAATCATTATCATTTATTTCTCCCAAATCTGATTCCCAAATTAATCTTAAACCTTTTGCCTGCTCTTCTTTCAGTTAATATTTTATATATTTTGCCTATTCTTCCTTTCCCTATATATTCTTTGCTAATTCTCTGCTAAAACGTTTTTTTAGTTGTGTTATATTCTTTATCTTGTTCCAGTCTATATATCTGATTTTCTTTTAGTTTACTAATCCATTATTTCAATTCAATCTTAGGGAATTTCTCCATTTCCACCACTGGTGTTAAAAGAGAGATTCCTGGCATTAGCTAGTATCTCCATTTATTCCATAATTCCATCAAGTTTTTAAAAAAGGGATTTTGTATCCTCTAATAATTTTTTGAATATACTTTTTAGGATATTTCTATAGGATCACCTATTTCCCTTAGCTCTTTCAACTCCATATCCCTCATATTAAATCTCTAGTTACTACTATAATATCTGGGACCACGTTTAATTGATTAGCTACCCAATAATTTCTAATATTTGGAAGACCTACCCCCCCTTTTTAATGGTTTATACCATAATGCTTTATTTATTCTTGCTCTCTTACCTCCATTATAATACACCTCCAGCAGCCTCTGTATTTGCTTTAATTCTTGATCCGAGAATTTAATTAGGATCATCCAAAACAAAAAATTATTTTTTTTGTAAAACTTTCATTTTTATCATTGCAATTCTTCCAAACCAGGATAATTTTACTTTCTGATATTTACCTATTTTATCTTTTATATCTTTCTTTAGCTTTTCATAATTTATTTTCTTTAACTTTTATAATATCTTTTGGGATATCAATACCTAAATATGTAATACTATCTACTATTTCTAGTTTATATTTTCTTTCAATATCTTCACTTCTTTACTATGGTTATATAACATCATTTCTGATTTTTCCCACTCTATTTGTAATCCACTATATTTCCCAAATTCATTCACTTGTAAATATATGTAAATAATGTATCTTCTGCAAATAAATTTATTTTAGTTTTTTTCTGTACTCCAATCCCTTCAATCAATGAATCTTCCCTAATTACATTTGCCAAAACCTCCATCAATAATGCAAATAGAACTGGGGATAAAGGGCAACCTGTCTCATTCCCCAGCTTAAGGTTACTGTCCCTGTAACACCATCATTGGCTATAAAAACAAATTTTGTTGTATTTAAGTACAATTACAATAAAGATTATACAATACTCGCTTTATTTTCTAAATATAGTTGATTTTCATAATTTTTATTATAAATCAACTAAATATAGTTGACATGTCTAAATTTTTTATCAAAACCTAACTTCTCTATAAATATCTTTAATGTAGGCCATTCTACACAATCAAAAGTGTGGCCACTTCGGGTTCCTAAAGGCTTTACGCTTAATTTGGTGGCCAGGCATAAAGAAAGACATGGATAGTTATGTGAAAAGTTGCACCATCTGCGCCATGATGAAAAAACAACCAGGAACCCCCCCTCACCCCCCCCCAGACTTTTGCAACCAGTGGCAGAGCCAACAACACCATAGGACGAAATCGCAATGGACTTTATAGTGGAGTTGCCAAAGAATAGAGGGAACACTTTGATCTGGACTGTGATAGACTTATTCTCCAAGCAGGCACACTTCATACCCTGCAGCAGACTACCTTCAGCCCACCAGCTAGCCAAACTGTTCCTAAAGCACATCTACTACCTGCACCGAGTGCCACAAAGAATTGTCTCAGACAGAGGGCTCCAGTTCAAGGAGGGAGTTCCTGCAATCCATTGGGTCATTCCAGGGCCTTAGCTTGGCCTTTCATCTGAGCACCAATGGGGGTGGGGGGAAAGAGACTGAATGCCAGTAGAACAGTACCTGAGGTGTTATGTGAACTATCAGCAGTTTAATTAGGGAATCAGTTGGAACCCTGACATTCAATATGTTTTAAATAGCTTTTTCTTTCTTTCTTTTTTGCTCAACTTATGTCAGTAGTTATTCCCCACTGAAGAATAAAGCTAGAAGATAAAGAGAGAAGTAGGGGAGAGGTAAGGGAAGAAGGAAGGGAAAGGAGACTAGGAAAGAAGAAAGTAGAGAAGGGAGGGAGAGAAAGGAAGAGAGGAGAGGAGATGAGAGGAAGAGAAGGGAAGAAAGATAGAGAAGAGGAGAGAAGATGGACGGGAGAAGGAGAGAAAGAGAGAAGGAGAGAGGGTAGGAAGGGGAAGAGGAAGAGAGTAGGAGGGGAGAGGTAAGGGAAGAAGGAAGGGAAAGGAGGAAGGAAGAAAGTAGAGAAGGGAGGGAGGGGGAAAAGAAAGGGAGAAGAAGGTGGTGTCAAAACAGGCGAGGGATGGTAAACAAAGCAACCCAAATGGAATATTATAATTCTATAAATGGAATGACAACTATATAAGAACCATGAATGCAAAAAAAGAATAATAACTATGTGAATGTATACCTATAATTGTATAAAGAGAACAAAAAAAATGTATATAAAAAAAGAATAAAGCTTTTGTAATTGAAAGGGAAATACTCTCCAGTGTCAATGTAAATCTGCTGAACTTATTCTTTTAGAATTGGGAGTTCTTATCTAACTAAACAAAAACAATAGTAGTAAAGATGGTTCCTTTATTCTGATTACCCCAATTGACATGTTTGTTACTTGGCAGTTTTGCATCACCCCTCATGCTGCATTATGAAATCTCCAGAACCATAAAGCCCATAAATTTGAAATATGGCACATATGTTCCTCTGGCTTAGAAAAGATTTTTAGAAATGATCATCAGAGCATTAGTATTTCTTATATTATTATTAACATGCCCTGATGCTAAGGAGTTAGATAACCTGAAGGAGTTAGATAACCTTCCAACTTGAAAATAACTCTGTTCCAATTGCCACGTGGGTGTGGCCAGCGTGTGACTCATCCGGCCTGTTGTCTGGGAGTTTGGAGAGGAGCCTGAGGGAGAGAAGGGGATAGGATAGGGGAGGATTCTGTGGGGCAAATCTAAGGGAGAGAAAGGGATAGGATAGGGGAGGATTCTGTGGGGCAAGCCTGAGGGACAGAAGGGGGAGAGGATAGGAGACGTTTTTGTGCAGCAAACCTGAGGGAGAGAAGGGAACCGGATAGGGGAGGTTTCTGTGAGGCAAAACTGAGGGAGAGAAGGGGCTAGGATAGGGGAAGAGTCTGTTGGGCAAGGCTGAGGGAGAGAAGGGTATAGGATAGGAGACGTTTCTGTGGAGCAAACCTGAGTGAGAGAAAGGGATAGGATAGGGGAGGCTTCTGTGGGGCAAGCCTAAGGGAGAGAAGGGGAGAAGAGAGGCCAATCATAACTACTCATTAATTTTCAAGCTGTAAATGTCAATTTATCAAGCCTGATCACATAGTTTTGTAGCGGAGCACGGGTATTCAGCTAGCAATTTAATATTCTTAGAAAGTTTTAATGTTTTCCTTGAAAGTTTACTGAGATTTTGTCAATTTTGCATTTTGTGCCTATTCTTCAGGTATGGCTAGCTGGCAATGTAATTGTGAACAGGACAATATGCAAAAATTAAAAAATGGGACTGTATCATGGTCGGAAATGGAGTCTGTGAAAATGGGCCTGGCAGCTACAAAGAAGGATACCCAGAGGGCTCCTCCTGTTCAATCTAAAGGTAATATATTTAAAATAAATTTTTGTTCACTTACCCAATCCACTATGAGGATTTTGTTCACATTCAGTCTCTGCTGGAGAAGTTTGGCAGAAATGGCTACAGAGTTAAAATAGCAAAAACCCCTAAAAGGAAATGGAATTTATAAAAGTATGAAATTCTGAATACAAGCTTCAAAAATCTTTCTATGGTAACAACAGTTTTACATTTTTGTTAGTTGCTATTCAACATATAGACAGGCCTATTTCCAGTATACACTGTTAATTAAATTATACAATTATATTTTATGTATTAAAAATACTAACAATCAAACCAGTTTTGGTCAATATGACAAATTATTGTTTTAAATCCCAACAACACTTAATTGACCAATAGTTCAAATCTTGTCAGAATTCTGTTTTCATCTACAACTTTTTGCTGGCAGCTACAATTTACAAAATATTATTTTCAATAACCAAAAAACCATAGCAGTTAAGAAGTCAACACAGAAATGCTGCCAGAAAGACAAAGCTAAATTTTCATGGTGTCTTATTTATAGCTTTATTTCCCAAACTAACTGGAAAATTGTTTAAATATTTGGCATTTCTGAAGGTGTGAAATGGATGCTTTAACTTTCTGCAAGGCTTATGGCACCCAGTTTGTCCTTAACTTCACCCCAAACTGTCCAACTGCTAAAACAAAGCCCCCTCCCTTCAAAGGCTGTTCTGGAATATTACAAGAAACCAATACATTGCCCATCTAAGTGAAAATTCCCAGTCCAAATACAGTCACATACTCACATAGGGGTACTTTCTTCTGCATGGTGACCAGGAGGTCGAACTACAGCAAATCCATTCTATTAAATGGAAGCCAAACAAACAAACAAACAATTTGAAAGATTAGACACTAAAAGCCGACATATTTTTCAAGCATGTAAAGTTGCAAAGTTACTGGATTGTTTCTGAAGTATACAGATAGTCTTTATGGCAATTTATAACTATTGAGTGCAGAACTTTGGTAATTAAGTTACTGTGGTCGTAAGCTGAATAACCATGTGACCAGACTTGATTTTACAACCATTTTTATGATGGTTGTTAAGCAAGTCACTGTTGTTAAGTGATTTAACAACACAGACTTATAAACCTGAGTCCAGCTTATCCAAAATCCAGCTTTGCCATCTTCTGGCCATTTTTTTGCCAGAAGATGACAAAAAATGTTGCGAAATGGAATCATGTGGCCCCAGGACACTGCAACCAATTGTAAATGTGAGGCAATTGCCAAGTGCCTGAAATGTTATGATCTGACCATGGGGATTGGTGCAACAACCTTAACAGAGGACAGATTAAGTAAATTTTTCCAAAGCCATTGTAACTTTTAAAACTGTGATTAGGTGACTAGTTCCAAGTTGTATTGGTTCAGAGGAGGAACCCATACTGATATTCCAGAAATGGGTAGCTCCCAGTTTGGCCTGGTTCAGTCGAACCAGTGGTGGAATTGTGGCCTGGGTCGCAGAACCGGTAGCAACCCAGGCTCGCCATACCCCTGAACCAGTTCCCTGATCTATTATGCCATTGCCTGCATGTTTCTGTGCATGCACAGAACAATATTTAGTAAACTGTGCATGTGCCAGCAATGCATGGTCAGCGTGCGTGCGAGATAAGTGAACAGTCACGCACAAAGTGCATGCAAAGCAAACTCGTACCAACCAGTATAGGAACCCATCCCTGTGGTATTCACATCAAATCATGAAATAAGCTGCCATAATTGTCTCAAACTCAAAGGTGTTTTTTTTTCTTCAAAAGTACCTGGAATTGGAACTGGAAGAAGAATAAAATATTTCACTTCTCATCCAAGAATCTTCATCAGTTCTGATGGTGTGGGGGGATGAAAGGATAGGTACTGATAATTTAGACTGGGGAATGGAAGAACAGATTCTGATAGGATGGTAGGGAGTGGAAGGGAAGGATTGTATTCCTTTGCCTTCATCTGGTAGTTAACAATCTCTCTGAGAACTGTTTCTTGGGAGGGCTCTCAGGCTCACCTGAAACAGAGTGCAATTGGTTGTGGAATCTTCTTGGAATTTCTGCAAGGGCTGCAATGTAAACTGGAAATAGGTGGTGTCTTATTCCTTTCCCCTCTGTTGAAGGGAAGCGTTCAATTCTAAAATAGACGATAATAAAATTATCCCTTTTTCAAACCAATGCTCCTCTCTATCCAAAATGTAGCCTTTGCTGTCTTCAAAAGTGTGACATTTGTTTTTCAAATGCAGATGGACTGCTGAATCTTGTCCTGATGGGTTTGATCTCCTATGTTGTGCCATGTGCTTGTGAAATGGTTGTTTTGTTTCATCAATGTACAGATCTGCACATGTTTCACTGCATTCTATTGCATATATTACATTGCTGTTTGTGTCTGGGTGTTCTATCCTTGGGGTGGACAAGCTTCTGACTTAGTGTATTCTTGGGTTTAAAGTATATACTGTATGTATGTTGTGTTGGTTAAAAATCCCCTTGAGCTTTTTAGATATTCCTGCTACATATGGAATGACAATGTTGCTATGTTTGTTGTTTTCTTCTTTGTCTGTAATGGAGAAGCTCTTGCTGGATCTTTTTTTTTCTTTATTTGATGAAAGCCCAATTAGGATAACCATAGGTTCTGAGGGATTCCTTAATGTTTTTTAGTTCTTTTTCTTTTCCCTCTTTATTATAGGCAAACTTTCAACCCAATGGTTTCAGGTTTTGAACACTCACATTTTGTGGTCCAGTGGGTGATAAGAATCAAACTATGAATACTGAGCTCTGTGCATGGGTTTTCTATAAATTTCAATGTTAAGGCTATTGTCTTTAATGTGCACTGCACATTCCAGGAAGGCCAGACTGTTTTCTTCCTGTGTGAACGTATTTGTCCACTGACTTGATGTGTTTGGTGAATGTTTCCACTTCCTGTGTTTTAATATTGATTCTTAAATCATCCACATACCTATACCAGTGAGTGTGTGGAAATCCTGTGAAAGAGTTTAGTGCTTTGGTTTCTACCTCTTCCATGTAGAGACTGGCAACAATGGGAGATTGGCACATATGTGGTCTGGGCTGAGGTTAGTTCTGTTGCTAATGTGCTGTCTTGCACCAGACATCTCATATATCATAAGAAACCATATTTTCATCTGAATCCAATTTTAGTTTTCAAACCTTGGTGGCAAAGTCCTGTGAATTGTTGATGAGATGGATGTTGTTGGCTAATAAGATGTTTAAATGTTTCACAATGTTGAATGCCAATTGTCAGAGCTGATGCTGCTGACAATTGGCATTTCCTCTTTGTGGATTTGGGGGAGTTAATGTATGCATGGAGTGGCTTCCCCAGGGTAAAGGCTGGGCAGGATATTGTGGCTTGTCAATGACATTGTTCTTCAGTAGTAGTTGCAGAAAATTGATTATCTTTTTCTTATAGCTGTTGGTAGGATCTCTCTTCAGAGTCTCATATGTGTCCTTCAAAAAATTGTTTATCTTGGCATCTATGTCCTTCATCAGCTGGCAAGATGGTAATGTTTGGTTCTCCCTAGAGATGTCACTGCTCTCCTTTCTTGAATTGTGAGATTGGAGAGGAGTGTTTTGGCACTGGTGAGGGCTGCAAATACCGTCACCTTTAATTGTTCTGCCTCTGGTTCTGGTAGTTTATTGTTCCTGATAGCTGACTCTGTGGCTGTGATGGGATCTACAATTGGTAACTGTTTGATTACCACAAAATTTAGTCCTTTGGATAATACATTCTTTTCTGTTGGAGTAAATGTTCTGTCAGACAGATTTCTCACCTGTCAATCAGTTCTTTGTGATGTGTCAATGTCCTCTCTCATCTGGATTGATTCTTCTGTTTTGTGTGCTTTTTCTTGTCAAAATTGTAAGGTAGAAAAGCTTCTTTCCTTCCTTCCTTCCTTCCTTCCTTCCTTCCTTCCTTCCTTCCTTCCTTCCTTCCCTTCCTTTCTTTCTCCCTCCCCTCCCCCTCTTATAATCCTGTGCTAGTTGTGCCTTCTTTGTAAATTCTCTGATCTCCTCCAATACTTCTGTTGGAAGAAGTGATTTCAGTTTTTGATATTTGTGTTCCACTTTCTCTTTCAAAATTTCAGTTGTAAAATTAACTGTTGAACATTATTGAACGCGCACAGGTTGATGGGGATGAATCTGTGTTGTCTGCATCTCAAACTGTCTGTGTTGTCTGTATCTCAAACTGAAGCATCATGAAGAGTCTGTGCTCACCTCAAACTGAATAATCTATCTCCAGTTTACAACACAGCAGTTGCCGCAGTTCCAAAAAGATTCCACAACTAATTGACTTCCTCAAAAGAAAAAAATAGTCCAATTGCCTTTTGAAGAAGAAAAAACAGCTTTGAGACAACTATGATCTGGATGACTGAGAATCTCCACAGACATCAACACTGTACCATCAGCCTAATCTTTTCATCTGGACTAATGTTGTTTGTTTTTTACTTGTTCAAAAAATTATATTTTAGTTTACACCCCTAAATAGACAGATTATATAATACTGGTTAAATAAATATATGTGGATCCTTAATATTTATTTCTGCATCTTCTTCAAGAAGAGCAACAATGTGATACAAATGGAAGAAGTGTGAGTTGGAAATGCTCTGAGGGCTGCAAAATGGAAGCAGGGATCCATGACCTTCCTGTCCCTTTCATAACTGAATTGGGTCCTCATTATGCCAGAAGGAAGTAAGCTTGCTTGTACCTATGCTAGGCAAATGGTGAAAATAATATTGTTAGACAAACTGGGAGTAGACACAAAGCCATAAAAGAACTACAAAAGACTTTCTTTTATTCAATATATAAAATGGGCATGTGTCACATATCTAAAGAATAAAGTACCAGTTTTAGTTAATCAAGTGGACATTTTAAAAAGGACTGGAAAGTGACAATGTTTCTGAGATGGAAGTCAGCCTCTGGAAGAAAATTAATGTCTGGACAAAATGTTCTCTGTTTTGAAGTCAGGGCTGAAGTAATCAGAAATGCTGCCTTAAAAATCAAAACACAAAGGATTGAAGAATCATATGAACTGAGATACAAAAATAAAAAAATACAATGTGAAGTCAAGAAATTGTCTTTCATACAACTTCCTAACACTTAAATGAGTAAAGATGGTAACTCCTGAATATGAGCACTATGAAGAATCACCTTGTCTTCTCTGGAAAGAAAAGACAGGGTGAGGCTTCATAGTCAGAAGCAACAGTTTGGACAATTGAGATGTTTTATAACTGCAAAGCTTGGTTGTCTCTTAACAAAAAGAGGGAGTACCTTTACAAATCACTGCCATTTTGACTTAAGGATCATTAGAATGCACTATATCTTATTTCTAATGAAGTTATGGATAAATTATGGATATCATGTCTCGTGAGTTATGGGGGAATACAGAACAACCTTCTGGGTCATTTATGGAAGAACATGTTCTCTGTTAACATGTTGCCAACATGCACCTGCTATAGTGCTTTGGACATTAATTATTGAGTTTGAAGGCAAGTAAGTGTAAGGTAACAGAATGGTCACTCAACATACATTATATTCAGCACTCTAGAGATGAACTAGAGACTTTTGATGACAAAATAATATGGAATTTGGTCCACAATTATCTAGATCTATAACAACTGCAACAACTCCTGTCAAAATTTGACAAGAAAATTTTCAATAGTCACCATCTTGAATCCAAAGCTACAGGTGGAAAGTGGAAGATGCTCATTCAGATGCCAGAGAAAAGTACTCAACTTGATTGCTCTCCTCTGGACTTGCTCCACTTTGTCAATGTAAAACATGGTGCTGCAAATATTTTAAATGTGGTCTGTCTACCACAGAATAAAGAGGAACAATAGCTTATCTTGATTTCTGTTGATGTAACCTAGTATTTCATTTAGGTTTTTTTGCAACTGCATCACACTCTTGGCTCAGATTCAGCTTGTGATTTCCCATGTTGCTGAATCTTTCATACACACTGCTGTCCATTATGGTCCCTCCCTTCCCCAGTTTGGATGACACGGTCTTTAGTAATTAATCCATTAATTATTTCATATAATGGTCACCCATCTTACCACAGGGTAACTCTGGGCAGCTTAACTCTCTCTCTCTCTCTCCCCCTCCCTCCACTAAACACATACACTATATAGAGTAAAAGGTAAATGAGTCCCTGTGGATTTTACTCTAAAAGTCATTGTTGATTATAGGAGATGGTTTTTGCAATAACCTTCCCCTGGAGAGGGGAGGGAATGAGGATTTTGCAGTAACTTTTCACTGGAGTGGGGAGGGAATGGAGTTTTTACAGTATCCTTCCCCTGCCAGGCCCACCAAGCCACACCCACCAAGCCATGCCCACAGAACCAGTAGCAAAAAAATTTTTTAACCCCACCACTGACAGACATATGTATGTATATGTGTTTATGAATCTATGTACATGTGTGGTGGGAAGGAATCAGCACTCTATGATATCATGCTGGCAACATGACCACAGAAATGTAAGGATGGAGGCAGGGGAAGAAGTGGGATCTATTGTTAATCAATTATCCACTTTCATTGTGATGCTCCTCCTTTGGGGCCCAAGCTAACTGGCAGAACTAGATCGTTAGGCTCTTATGAAATGTCAAAAGTGTTAGAGCTGACCTCACACCGGAGGGGAAATATATTCCACAGAGCAGGAGCAACGGCAGAGAAGGACCTTCTCCGAACCTCGCTAGGCACAATATTTGGGCGATAGGGCGCAGAGCATGCCTCCTCTCCCAGCATGGATAGGACAGGCAAATACCAGTGAAATGAGATGGTCCCTCAAGTAGCCTGGACCCATGCCAGAAAGGGCTTTATAAGTGAATACCAACATCTTGAACTGCACCCAGAAGCAGACTGGCAGCCATGCAACTTGCGGAGCAGTGGTATTACCTGGGCTATTCTTCAGGTCCCAGGAACTGCCTGTGCTGCTGCACTCTGCACCAGCTGTGGCTTCCATGTTGACATATTACAATGACTAGGGCCTGAATGACTGAACTATACAGATCTATAATAATCAGTGATAACTACCCTAGCTGATGTGGTCAAAAGCTTGTCCACGTGGAGGCTAAATACAATACATTTTCCTATATTCTAGATAGTATTGATTTAGAAACATTGGAATCTTTGACAAGCCTCCTCATGAATGAAAACTGGCAGGATGTAAGAAATAGATTTCAAGAAAAGATGGGATATGCATGTAAATCTCAGTTGGGAAGAGGTCTCTTTAGAATAATGAAATCTATATAAATTTTGCAGTGAATCTTGGCAAGTAATGCAGCTTATGGAACCTTGTATCACGGGGGGCTATTGACCTATTCCATCTATAACAATAGCTGCATTGTCTAATATTTTTTTCAAATGTAGTCCAGCCCTGAGATTAAGGAGCAGGAGGAAGATGTGTTATATGTGTTATAAAAGACTGGAGTGAATAAATAAATAAATAAGATAAAATAAAATTTTCTCATTAATAAAATGAGAGAGATTTTAGTATTCCTAACTATAATTGCATTATAAAAAACTTTTAGTAGTATTGTTTTCAAATTTCACAATTCCTGAATTTCTGCCCTTTCTATATTCTTATAAACTCTAAATTTGGAAATATTGTAAAAGATGTTTGCTATATGGTGTGAAAACAAAAGTAACCCAGTTATTCTCACATGTAAAAATGAAATCCAAAATATTATCAATACCAGACCAACCTTAAGTTCTCCTGTAGCTACTTTAAATACAAGCTCTATGACACAGCCAACAGCAAGACGAGCAGCACTGAATGAATGCACTTCATTCCAAATTGTATCATTGTCCACCTGAATAAAGATGGATTCAGAAATATTGTAAAGATACTGTTGTAAATTCTGAAACAATTTAGTCTACACAGAGCACTGCATGCTGACTACTGGAACTGTTAAATCATAACTTAAGTGTTATAATTATAAATGCAATTAATGATAAATACCAAAAGTGAATTATTTCCCAAGCCAAAATTGATAACACCGCCATCACAAATTGATATACTTTTACTTTTATTTGAAAAGATATTTAGCTACATATAAATTGCTTATACACTTTAAGTGGAGTTCTTTAAGTGGTTATCCTCATGCATTCATTTGGGACATATTCAGATGTAAGATTTTTGATAAGAAGCATATCTTGTCTATATGATATCATACATATTCTAAAACATAGCTCCCAATATTTCACTTTCATTTCTGATGTCAAAATTAAACTGCTAAACATAGACAAACGGCTCCAACCAGGTGGCAGTCCTGCATATATTAGTAGGAGAAGTTCCTTTGGAAGAAGAGCCCCTTGATTATGAGTATTTGGCTAACTGGCTATAGAATATGTTTACTAATATAAGTAATTTAGAAAGTTCCTAGGAATTATCTTGCTTTTTCAGGACCTGGTAACAACAACAAAAATTTGATGCATAAAGACCAATTGTCCTATGCACGCATAACAACATCATTAGACATTAAGGGTGCAAAGGAGAGAAATTAGAAAAGAAAACTGGGACAATTTAAGAAAATTGGGGAAATTGGCTTCTAAATTATTTTAGCACTCCCATTTTCTATATCATTTATTTTTCTTAGAACTAAGGTGGATCTTATATCTTACAACTAGAGCAAATAAAGCTATTATTTTTTGTACTTTAAAAGATTAATGGACATCCTCAAACATAGCTTTATCTTGTGGATAAGAGATGACAAGACAGTTATCTATGTAAAAAAGATTGCTTAATACAAAATAAAGACAGATAAAACATGAAAAGCATTTGGAATCAGGATTTCTGAGTTCTGCATATACATTTTGGTGTTTTCTCCTGCCAATAGTAATAGCACTTAGACTTATATACCTCTTCATAGTGCTTTACAGCCCTCTCTAAATGGTTTACAGTGTCAGCCTATTGCCCCCAACAACCTGGGTCTTCATTTTACTGACCTTGGAAGGATGGAAGGCTAAGTCAACCTTGAGCTGGTGAGGCTCGAACTGCTGGCAGCTGGCAGTCAGCAGAAGTAGCCTGCAGTACTGCATTCTCATCTCTAAGGCACCATGGCTGAATACTGATTTAATTGGCATTTTTGGTAGGTCTTCAGTGGGCTATGTTTTTAGACTATAGTGCGGTGGAAGATAATTATATCCCAATCTCTCAATGAATTTGTTTCTATGTAATTTCATATACTGAGGAATTCAACTGTTCATTTTCTCTTATTTTAGAAAATGGAGAGATATTTGCTGCAGCAACGCTGGGATAGTTTCCAAAATAATATTTGTATCACTAAGATTATTTAAAATTGTTGCCAAGAAAACTAAAGCAACTTAAAAATTATTATGGTAAAAGTTAAGTGAGAATATTTTATTTAATTTTGAAACTTTGTAGATAATGAATGATGACACAAAATTGGGAAGTTTAGACAGCACCCAAAATGACAAAAATTAAATTGAAATCAAATCTAGATAGACAAAGCTTGGAGAATAAGATGTGTTTTTACTGGAAAAAATGTAAAAGAGAAAAATATATGGACACATACAAGTCCAGGAATTTATGACTTGGAAGCACAACATTGAAGAAAGACTTGGGCCTAATCACCAACACTAAACTGAACATAAACCAGCAATGTGAGATAACTAAAAGGACTGCATTAGAAGAAGCATTGTATTAAAAACATACACAGTCCTTATTTTCCTGTATTCTGCGCTAAAGGCGCCACATCAATATGTCTGCTTATTATATTGACAGGTTACAACAGTTTAAGGGGATGACATCAAGGATAATTATAGGAACTAAAGGACATGCGCTGTAAGGATGACATGAAGGAAATTGGAATGTTTAATCTGGTGAAAAGAAATCTGACAGGAGGCAAGATATCAGTATTCGAATATTAATGAGTTTAAGTATAACTCTTGACCACTGACCATTTATTTCAATACTAGAAGTATCTATGAAACACACTGATAATAAAAGTTTATTTGGTCAAACTCATAATGAAGTATAAAAACTTTCCCGATATCTCTGAAAGAAGCATGTTTACAATCAGGCTCCAGCCTGTCAACTAGAGACGTGACAAGTACAAATATTCATACATACAATGTTGATACATACTATGTTTTATAGAGATAGGTGAAAGAAAGTATTCCACTCTGTGAGATGCATTCTTTTGTGTGAGTGGAAAAGTGAGACAAACTATGATTAATATGTTCATCAAGCTTATCAAGTGTGCAGTGGCTAGTGTTGCACATGACCTTCATAAGAGGAATAGGGAAATATGTACAGCATGTACTTGAACTGCAATGCATCTAATAAAATAGCTGTAGAATATTAGTAGCATTGAATGTTGTACAAGTGTACGTTCATTAAAATTTTATTCCTAACAAAGAGGTATCCATAAATAATGAGATTGCCAGCTATGTGCTTCATAATCTGGGACCAGGAAAACCTGTTAAGTATTAAGGCAGAAGTCACAGCGTGCAAAGGGAGACAGAGTTAACATTGCACTTGATGCTATATGCACGAAAAAGTATTACATTGGGCAAAAATGGAACTGATTTGTAAAACCAGATGTTGAATGGGATCAGTTCTGACTTGGGACAGAAAGCTGTATTCTAGATGGTGTCTGAGAGCCATTAAAAATCAAAATTACTGTATTTTTTGGACTATAAGATGCACTATTTTTCCTCATAAAAGAGGCTGAAAATCTGGGTGTGTCTTATATATCGAATACAGCATTTTTTTGCATGCAGTATTTTTGACAAAAACAGGCCTGTTTTCATGAAAAACAGGCTGTTTTTGCTCGTTTGTGCCCCCCCCCACACCCCCAGGGGCACTCTGCAAGCCCCCCCCCAAGGCTATTCATGCCTTTTATTTGTTAAAAAACGGGCCCGTTTTCATGAAAAACGGGCTGTTTTGGGGAGCTTTGCATAGTGCAAAAACTTTTTCCCCCTTTTGGAAAGCTCTTTAACTGTTTGATGAGAATTACATTGATCAAGTGCTGTGCCAGCAGGAACAAAGTTAGGTGCTGTAGATTTTCAGCGATTTCCTTCTCCAGCACATGGATAAATACACCTGGAAACATTTACCTATCTACCTACACACACTCTCTCTCGTCCTACCTACCTACTCACTCTCTCTCTCTCTCTCTCTCTCTCTCTCTCTCGCTCGCTAGCTAGCTACCTTTTTAAAAATTTTGCCTCTTCAAAACCTTGGTGCGTCTTATACTCTGGTGCATCATATACTTCGAAAAATACGATATCTTTTCTGATTATTATCTATTTCCCCATTTATTTAAAAAAAATTACCCATGCGAATTCCAGACTAACTGCAGAATGACAGGTTTTATAGTTGTAAGCGATAATAAACAGCATCCACACGCATGAAATAATTTACATTCACATTGGAAGAATCAGATTGGGTAATTCTTAAATGGAGTAGATAAATTTTCCAATGTTCTGAAAACTGAAAATATCTCATTTAAGAGTGAGGCTTCATCTTCAGATGCTACTTAATGTGGTGGTCAAAGCAGAGCTTTGCTGAAGGGGCGGGAGCTGAACAGAATAACAGAGTTGGAAGGGACCTTCAAGGTCTTCTAATCCAACCCCTTGCACAAGCAGGAGACCCTATACCATTTCAGACAAATGGCTATCTAATCTCTTCTTAAAATCCTCCAGTGATGGAGTACCTAGAATTTCTGAAAGCAAACCATTCCACTAGTTGTTTCACTACCAGGAAATTTCTCCTTATTTTAGGTTGGTTCTCGCCTTGATTAGTTTCCATCCATTGCTTCTTGTCCTGCCTTCTAGTGTTTTGAAACTAGATTGATGGGAGGAAGAGCTACATGTGATGGCGATACTGCAGCTTTCCGGTTATTCTGGATTAGCCGTTGAATCCGGATCATCTGTATGGTCCAATCTGGACCCAAGCCATCCCGAAGAGACGGTGAGAGGAAGCGGAACATCCGGGGGATCCAGAGAAACTCACAAAGTCTCTGGAGACCTGGGAAAAAACCCTTTTGCCGACGATCAAGAGCCAGCCCCTGGGCTGCTGAAGCTGCTGACAGCTCCGTAAAGCAAGAGCAGGAGAGAGAAGCATGTCGTTTTGGTGAGACTTTTTCTAACATTTTTTAATTGCAAAGAGAATACACTAAATTTGGAGACTTAAGGCAAAATAGAGAATAACCAGAGACTCAGCGGCGGTTTTAAGCATGGTTAATTGAAACCGTTCCCCCCCCCCTTTTTATTACCGGAAGGCAGGCTGGACTTTTGCTACAATTTAAAATGGATTCATTGTTGGAGCCTTCTCTTTATTTCTAACTTCTTGATTTTTGGAAGTGAATTGAATACTTATTCTCCCCCCCCCCCTTTCCTTATTATTTTTTAGTCCTTGGGATTTTTCCTTTGAATATTCCCTTCTAAAGGCAGAGTTGTAAGAGACTTGAGATTGGATATAATTTAACATTGCCACCTAGCGGATTTTGAAACAAAGTTGCCAATTCTTACTGCTGGAATTGTTTAGAGAGAAACTTTTTCATTCAAGGTTAAAACCTGATAAGAGGCAAGAACACAGTTATGAGAAAGAGACGAATGAGAAATGTAAAGAAAAGATAAACATGTAAAGATTTAGAAAAAGACTATATGACACTGGAAAAAGAGCTACAGAAATCTCCACAAAAGACCTGGCCTACCAGTGGAATTTTAAAAACACTAGAGGAATCCTTGTCTCTTCCCCTTCTAGAAGTTATAAATGAAGTAATGGTTGAAAGTAAAATATCTAATTCATGGTTAGAAGCACATATCACATTGCTACCTAAAGAGGAGGCAGAACTTACGCAAATTAAGAACTATAGACCAATCTCCTTGCTAAACTCAGACTATAAGTTATTTGCATCTATACTGGCAGAGAGACTTAAAAAATATCTAAATGGGTTTATCCACCCAGATCAAAATGGTTTTTTACCGGAGGAAGGAGGAGCCAATGTCGCGATGTCACAACGTGCGGTCTCGATATTCCGAGATCGCCATTGACACTTTTGCCGCTGGACGGTCCATTGAGACCTAAACCATCCCGTAGAGACGGTGATAAGGAAGACGAAGCCTTGCTAGTCTCAGGGACATCGCAAAGTCCCTGATCCACCCAAGGGAAGCGCTTCAAGCCGGCGGTAAACAGGCAGCCCCCAGGCTGATGAAGTCGGGACAGCTCC